CATTTACAGGAAGCAGAGCAGAATTGGGACTTCCCTGGAGGTCCAGCGGTTTAGACCCTGCGCTCCCAGTGCAGGGGGCCCGGGTTTGAGCCCTGGTCAGGGAACAAGATCCCACGTGCCACAACTAAAAGATACTGAGTGCCATGGCTAAGACCTGGCGCAGCGTAATAAATAAATTAAATAAATAAATATTAAAGAAAAAAAAAGAAGAGCAGAATCAATATAATGATGAGACAGGAAGGAAGATGACAAGGACATAATTCCCCTAAGTTATTCTGGGTGTTTCAAACCCCAGGACATTGAGAAAACTTATAGATAGAATTGCAGGGGTGGCGGTGGGGGTGGGTGGAGAATTTCGAGCCCACACTGTGGCTGACCTTTTTTTTTTTTTTAATTTTTGACCGTGCCACACGGCTTGTGGGATCCTAGTTCCCCGACCAGGGATCAAACCCAGGCCCCCTGCAGTGGAAGCGTGGAGTCCTAAACACTGGCCCGCCAGGGAAGTCCCATACTATGGTTGATATTTAAGGAATCTGTGAAAGATGATAACCTGGTTCAAGAATGGGAAGAAGATGGACATTTTTAGCTATACTTCAGTGAGTCTGACACTGACCATGGAAAAAATTCTAGATTGGTTTCTGTGCCTTTAGAGAAGGAAAGAAAAATCACAAAGAGCTGATGACATTATTCACAAGAACAAGGTATGAAACATTTTCTCTTTTGAGAGGGTTATTAGGAAAGTCACAGGAAAGCTGGAAAAATAACATCGACTTCTATTTCCAAAGTGCCTTGATAAAAACTTTCCTTACCAAGACCCATTTGAAACTCTAGCAATAGTGTATTCAACCTTGAAAAGGCATCTGAGGGGGCCTCTCCTCATTTCCTTTTGAGTGGCAAGATGGAAACTGAGTGGAAATAAAAGTGGGTGGATTTACAATGGCCATCCCAAAGGGTCACTGAATAATGCACCCAGGAAACCTGGACCAGACTCTGGTCATCTTTCAAAGGCTCATTCTTGGGTGGTGCTCTTCATCCTTTATATCAAAGTTGAAAATCACAAGAAGCTAGAATGGACAGATAGAAACTGTGGAGTCAGGATTCAAAATTACCTGACAGCATGGAGAGGCGGGTCACGTGCAGCAAGGAGAAGTGTAATGAAGACGAATGTGAACACCTGCACCAGTGCAGAGCATCCGGTTAGGGTTCAGCACCAAAGTGGGGGGTCCTGGGGTTCAGGTTAATAAAGTCGGTGTGAGGGGGCGGCTGAGAAGCTTGGACAAGGGGTACTAGCTACATGCCGCCCCGACTCTGCTCCTGTGTGTGGAACTCTATTAAACCTTCTGCCCTGTCTGAAAGGTGGTGTCTATGCCATGGAGCACCCAAGGACAAAGAAACCAGGCAAGGCTGGCAGAGAGATTTTGGAAATACATCACAGGAAGAACAAGTTGGTATATAAAAAGTTGGTGTCGGGAGGGGAGGGGATGGTAGCTCCCCTTGTGGGTGGGGATGCAAAACGGTTCAGCCACTGTTTGGTGGCTCCTCAACAAATTAAACAAAATTACCATACGACCCAATAATCCCACTCCTACGTATAAACCCCTAAGAATTTAAAACAGGTACTCAAACAATCACCCATGGGTGCATATTCATAACAGTGCTATTCACGACAGCTAATAGGTGGAAACAATCCAAAATGTCCATCAACAGATGAATGGATAAACAAAATGTGGTATATACATATGATGGAATATTATTCACCCATAAAAAGGAATGGAGTACTGATACATGCCGCAATGGGGATGAACCTCAAAAACATTACGTTAAGTGTAAGAAGTCATACATAAAAGGTCTCATGAAATATTCAGAATAATTAAAGCCACTTACATGAAATATTCACAATAATTAAATCCATAGAGACAGAAAGCAGAGGAGTGGCTGCCAGGGACTGTGGGGAGAGGTGAATGGGGAGTGACTGTTTAAAGGAAATAAGGTTTGCTTTAGGGTGATGAAATGTTTTGGAACTACCCAGAGGTGGTGGCTACACAACACTGTGAATATACTATATGCCACTGAATTACCTACACACTTTAAAATGTTATGTTGAGAATTCGCGGTTTCTGGTCCAGCATGTAAGGAGCTTAGAAGTCACCACTCTGGGGCTTCCCTGGTGGCGCAGTGGTTAAGAATCTGCCTGCCAATGCAGGGGACACGGGTTCGATCCCTGGTCCGGGAAGATCCCACATGCCGTGGAGCAACTAAGCCCGTATGCCACAACTACTGAGCCTGCGCGCTAGAGCCCATGTGCCACAACTACTGAGCCCGTGTGCCACAACTACTGAAGCCCACGCACCTAGAGCCCGTGCTCTGCAACAAGAGAAGGCACCGCAACGAGAAGCCCATGCACCACAACAAAGAGTAGCCCCCGCTCGCCGCAACTAGAGAAAGCCCACGCACAGCAACAAAGAGCCAATGCAGCCAAAAATAAATAAAATTTTTAAAATGTTTAATATGTTAAGAAAAAAAGTCATCACTCCATGCTAACAAGGGAAAAGCTGAACTGAAACATCAACAACTCTTCTTAGATCCATCAGAGAAGTGAGGTCCCAGGGCAAACTGCTGCCCCCAAAATGGCAGAGACAGACAGCAGAACTACACAGAGAATCACAACTTACCAGAGCAGAAACCCATGGGCAGAATCCTCCAGGAAACCAGTGCCAGGGGAGGAAAATGCAAACTGTAAACTGATGAATTGCTGGAGGCTACCACGGACAACTCTGAGGGCTAAAACCTCCAGGGGGACCCAGTCATCCGGGGTCCCCCACACTTTTGTTTTACCTCCAGGAGCCCTGCCAGGTCCTTACAGTGAATATCAGGGGAAAAGTCCCCTTGTGCCTCCAGCAGGGGGAGGGGAAAAGGAACCATTCTGAAATAAGCCAGAGCATTCTGTTCTTCTCAACAGGTTAGCTATTTAACCAGAGCCTAACTAACCTGCTGGGGTTGTATCAGAGCCTAACCTACTTGGGGGAAGGGAAATACACAAATCCAGCCCACTCTAGCTATCCTGTCCCACTTAAGGATGGGAGGGGACCTGAGAAGCCCTGGTGAAGTTCACAGACCAAGGGCACAGGTTCACTGAAAGACCAGAACCTAATCACAGGACTCTAGAACACTGACTCTCCCACAGCTTTACTGCTGTATCACCGAAGGCCACTTTACCACAGTTCCTTCCACCCAGTACATCGTGTCCACCTTGCAACAAAAAATTACAAGGCAGGGGATCCCTGGCAGTCCAGTGGTTAGGACTCAGTGCTTTCATTGCCATGGCCTGGGTTCAATCCCTGGTTGGGGAACTAAGATCCCACAAGCCATAAGGAAAAACAAACAAACAAACAAATTACAAGGCATACCAAAAAGCAAAAACACACTTTTAAGAGACTGAACAAGCATCAGAACCAGAGTCACATATGGTAGGAAAGCAGGAATTATCAGACCAGGAATTAAAAAACAAAACAAAACTGTGATTAATATGGTAAGAGCTTTAATGGAAAAACATGCAAGAACAGAGGGATAATGTAAACAGATGAAAGTTCTAAGAAAGAATAAAAAAGAAATGCTAGAGATAAAGAACTCTAACAGAAATGAAGAATGCCTCTGATGGGCTCATTAGGAGACTGAACACAGCTGAGGAAACGCTCTTTGAGCTTGAGGATATGAAAACAGGCACTCCCAAAACTGAAAAGCAAAGAGACAAGAGACTGAAAAACAAAACAAAACAAAAAACCCAGAACAGAAAAGCCAAGAACTGTGGGAACTTGTACAACTACAAGAGGTATAACACATGCATAAATGGGAATACCTGAAGGAGAAGGAAGGAACAGAGTGAAGCAACAATGAAAGAACTGCCCTCAAAGGAATGTCAGACACCAAACCACAGATCTAAGAAGCTCAGAGAACATCTACCAGGATAAATGCAAAACAAACAAACAAAAACGACACCTAGGCATATCATATTCAAACTGCAGAAAATCAAAGTTAAAGAAAAAATCTTGAAAGAAGCCAGAGTGGGGAAAAATACCTTACCTACCAAGGAGCAAATATAAGAATTACATCTGACTTCTCAGAACCCATACAAGCAAGAAGAGAACGAAGTGAAATATTTAAAGTGTTGAGAAAAAAAAAAAATGCCAGCCTAGAATTCTGTACCCTGCAAAATTATCCTTCAAAATTGAGGAAGAATTAAAGACTTTCTCAGACAAACAAAAATTAAGGGAATCTGTTGCGAGTAAGAAGGAAAATCATGTCAGAAACTCAGATCTTCATAAAGAAGAGCACTGGAGTATGAATAAGTGAGGATAAAATATTTTTCTTATTTTTATTTTTTCTTATTCTTAATTGATCTAACAGATAAGTTTGTTAAAAATAATAACAGCAACAATGTACTTGATACTGTACACTTATGTGCATATATATGTTCTTGAAGGCTTATGTATATAACTGACTCAATGACAACAATGATACAAGGGATAGGAGGGAAGAATCAGGAATATTTTGTCATTAAAACGTACTTGCCCTACCTGTAAAGCAGTAATAGTGTTATCTGAAAGTGGACTTAGATTAGTTGTAAATATCCAGTGGAAACTCTAGGGCAACCATGAAAAAAAGTACGAAAAAGAAGTATAATTGATATGCTAAGAAGAGAGAGAAAATGGAGTCATATAAAATACTCATTAACACCACAAAAAAGGCAAAAAAACATGGAAAACATAAAGAGGAACAAAGAGCAAGCGCAACAAACAGCAAACAGCAACAAGTATGATAGATATTAAACCAACTATATCAACAATCACTTTAAACATCAAAGGTCTAAATATACCAATTAAAAGAGACTGTCAGATTAGGAAAAAAAAAACACCACCACAAGACCCAACTATGTGTTTTCTACAAGAAACCCACTTTACATATAAAGACACATATAGATTAAAAGTAAAGGGATGCTTTCCAGACCTGGCTAAGGAGGAGGCGCCAGCATGGGAGTTGACATCCGCCACAACAAGGACCAAAACGTTCGACGCAAGGAGCCCAAGAGCCAGGACACCTACTTAAAGCTGTTGGTCAAGCTGTACAGGTTTCTGGCCAAACGAACCAACTTGAGCTTCAATCAAGTTGTACTGAAGAGGTTGTTCATGAGCCACACCAACCGGCCACCTCTGTCCCCTTCCCAGATGATTCGGAAGAGGAAGCTTCCTGGCCGGGAAGGCAAAACAGCTGTGGTGGTGGGGACTATAACCGATGATGTGTGTGTCCAGGAGGTGCCCAAACCGAAGGTGTGTTCTCTTCGAGTGAGCAGCTGCGCCCAGAGCCTCATCCTCAAGGCCGGGGGCAAGATCCTCACCTTCGACCAGCTGGCCCTGCACTCCCCCAAGGGATGGGGCACTGTCCTCCTCTCTGGTCCTAGCAAGGGCCGAGAGGTGTACAGGCATTTCGGCAAGGCCCCAGGAACCCCGCATAGCCACACCAAACCCTACATACGCTCCAAGGGCTGGAAGTTCGAGCGCGCCAGAGGCCGACGGGCCAGCCGTGGCTACCAAGAACTAACCCCAGATCCTACCTTGTTATTAAAAAGATGTTGGATGCTTTAAAAAAAAAAAAAAAAGTAAAGGGATGGAGAAAGATATACTGTTAACACTAATTAAAAGAAAATATTTGCAAAAGACACGTCTGATAAAGGACTGTTATCCGAAATACACCAAAAAAAACTCTTAAAACTCAACAATAAGAAAACAAACAATACAATTTTTTAAATGGGCAAAAGATGTGAACATACACCTCAAAAATAAAGATATACAGACGGAAAGTAATGAAAAGATGTTCAACATCATATGTCATTAAGGAATTGCAAATTAAAACCATGATACCACCACACACCTATTAGAATGGCCAAATTCCAAAACACTGGTAACACCAAATGCGGACAAGAATGTAAAACAACAGGAACTGTCATTCACTGCCGGAGGGAATGCAAAATGGTACAGACGCTTTGGTAAACAGTTTGGCAGTTTCTTATAAAACTAAACATATGGGGCTTCCCTGGTGGCGCAGTGCTTGAGAGTCCGCCTGCCGATGCAGGAGACGCGGGTTCGTGCCCCGTTTCGGGAAGATCCCACATGCCGCGGAGCGGCTGGGCCCGTGAGCCATGGCCACTGAGCCTGCGCGTCCGGAGCCTGTGCTCCGCAAATGGGAGAGGCCACAACAGTGAGAGGCCCGCGTACCGCCAAAAAAAAAAAAAAAAAAAAAAAAAAAAAAAAACTAAACATATGCTTATCATGTGATCCAGCAATCGTGCTCCTTGGTATTTACCCAAATGAGTGGAAAACTTAGGTTCACACAAAAACCTGCACACGGATGTTTATAGCAGCTTTAGGGCCTCCCTGGTGGCGCAGTGGTTGAGAGTCCGCCTGCGGATGCAGGGGACGCAGGTTCGTGCCCTGGTCCGGGAAGATCCCACATGCCGCGGAGTGGCTGGGCCCGTGAGCCATGGCCGCTGAGCCTGTGCATCCGGAGCCTGTGCTCCGCAATGGGAGAGGCCACAACAGTGAGAGGCCCGCATAAAAAAAAAAAAAAAAAAGAATATAGCAGCTTTATCCATAACTGCCCAAAACTTGGAAGTAACCAAGATGTGCTTCAGTAGGTGAAGGGACAAATAAACTGTGGTGCATCCAGACAATGGAATATTACTTAGCACTAAACAGAAATGAGCTATCAAGCCATGAAAAGACATGGGGGAAACTTAAATGCATTCCTGAGTGACAGAAGCCAATATGAAAAGGCTACATGCTGTACAATTCCAACTATAGGACATTCTGGAAAAAGCAAAACTAAGGATGGGACTTCCCTGGTGGTCCAGTGGTTAGGGCTCTGAGCTTCCACTGTGGGAGGCACGGCTTCGATCCCTGGTCGGGAAATTACATCCCACATGCATGCTGCAATTAAGAGTTCGCGTGCTGCAACTAAGAAGCTGGTGAGCCACAACTAAGGAGCCCACGTGCCTCAACTAAGATGCAGCGCAAATAAATAAATAAATAAAAACTTTCTCTTAAAAAAAAAAGCAAAACTACGGAGACAGTAAAAGGATCAGTGGTCACTAGGAGTTCAAGGGGATGGAGGGATGAACAGATGAGCACAGAAGATTTAGGGCAGTGAAATTACTTTGTATGATACTATAATGGTAGATACATGTCATTATACATTTGTCAAAAACCAGAGAATGCACAACACTAAGAGTGAACCTTAAACTATGGACATTGACACTGTGTCAATGTTCCTCAATTGAAATAAACATACCCTATGGTGTAGGATATTAATAATGCGGGAGGCTGTACATGTATGGGGACTGGGGTATAAGGAAACTCTCTGTACTTTCCACTAAATTTTGCTATGAACCTAAAACTGTTCTAAAAAATATAGTTTATTAATTTTTATTATTTTTTTGAATGCAGTGGATTCTCGAAGCATCTTAGCATTTAATTAATTCTGTGCTTCTAAGTAGATCCATGTTCCCTAAACTTATGCACCAAGGCGTCCCTGCAAACGTACAGGGGAGACATAGGTTATTTTAAATTTGAAGGCAACAAGTGATACTTTGAGTTTGTCAGGTACCAGACAAACTGCTAGCTCGAGGTAGTTCGCAGCTCAACATTAGACTGCAATGCATTCCTTTTTATGGTGTCACAGCTTTGCAAGGCTGAGTTTTTAGCAGTTGCTGTGACCCAAGGAAGTGGCCTGTGAAAATCAACACGGAATAGAAAAGAGGGCATCCATGTCCGACCTTACTTCAAGCTTTGAGAAGGTATTGCTGTGCTCAACAGGAGCTCATATCCCATGAGTAAGTTCCTGTTATTATTTTAAGATGAATTAAAAGTATTATTATATTATTTTTTCTTTCAGTTTCTTTGTGTTTTTTTAAACAGCTACTAAGTTATTAGGATATAAATATTAAGATGTTAGGATATAAATATTAAGCTGTTTGGACCTAAGGAGTTAATTAAACAGAATTGCTGGGCATTTCTTTTTAGCTTGAAGGCTCTGTGAGAAGGTTACTGAGGCACCCAAGGTACTGTGAACAAAGAAAGTTCAAGGAGCTCTGGAGCAGACAATGAATAGAGATACATTCAGGTTGTGAGTTAAGGCTAAAAGGGAAGGGTTCCAGACTCAAACATTCAGGCAGAAGAGACTTTCTGACTCAACTGAAGGCTAATGAGATGCAGTAATAATAATCACTTAGGTTGGGTCAATACTGAAGAAGGCTGACTTCATTTATTTTATATCAAATGCTATTCAGGTTGGAGTTCAGGGCGACAAAAACCTCTAGGCTTATCTGCAAGGCCACTGTTAACTCTCCACATGGCACACTTGTTAAACATTCTCTTTGAGTCCATTAAAATATAACCAAAAAAGTTTATTTTTAAAAATGCTATGTTCATCTTATGCTATGGGAATTTCACCTCAAATTTTAAAAAGGGAGGGGAGAGTTCTATGGATTTGAGTTAATAAAACAGCAAACACCTAAGGTATACTCTAGTGTTCTAAACACTGACAAAATCTGTTTAATCTTATAGGGTTAAACATATAAGGGTTAAACATATAAACACCAACAGGCTCCTTAATCTCTGTGTGCCTGAGTTTCTTCCTCTGTAAAAGGCAAATAACGGAATAGCAGAGCTGGGACGTGAACCAGAGTTGGCTAGGGAGCCCACGTTCTTCACTATTCCACGACACTCCTAGGGTGGCAGCGCTTATTCTGTGGGGATCCAGAGGCAGAACCAACACCAAGGTCTTTCTGACAATGAAGGCTGCCCTCCAAAATGGAAGGGGTTCCCCGATTAGATGAGTTCCAGCGGGGACTGGTCAACTGATGTCAGTGCTCAGACAGAGAGGATCACATCCAAAGCTGCACGAGATCATTTCTAAAGCTCTTGTCAAATCCAAAACTGATTCCAGCACAAGCACAGTGTGCAGATTTCTGAGATATTTGCATAAAAAAGTGATACAAAATTTAAAAGTGTAACTTTGTCAATACAATGTACCCTTTCTTCAGAATTTTTAAAACTCCACTCCAATTTTATCATCTACCCTGACTCAACTGCACATGAAAGGTTCTTAACAAATCACCCAAATTTATGCTTTCTGAATATTATTTATTATACAAAGAAACAGGGTTAAAGATACTCTTGGCTGGTCTCCACTATGTTTCCTACTTTTCATATTCTGAGCTATAAAAATATCATACTGACAATAACAATAACAACTTCACTCGTTTCCTCTATGGTAAAATGGGTTGATTAAACTAAATGAAATTAGATTTCTAAAATACCTTCCTTTCTAGAATTCTAGCCATATTAATGCAGAAACTGATTTTTTAAGATAGATTAGGAGATTTTTTTAAATTTAGTGGTTTAAAAGTACTTGACGTTCTAATGCAATGATATTCAAGTAACCAGACATTATTTAAGCGGAAAGACAAATTGCCAGATTTTAAAAGTAAAGGACTTTATCATAAAAGGGGAGACGACCTCTCAAGAGGAAACCGAATTTATATGTAGTCTAGCTGAGAACTAGCTCACTGGTCACCCAGGGAAATGCAAAAAACAAACAACCATTCCCCACCAAGACAAACAGGACACGTACAAGCCCATGCACAACTTACTCCAGATTCTGAGAAAACACCAAAAGATTTCTCAGGAAAATAAATCAGACTTCTTCTATTGTGGTAGTTATAAAAAACATTTTTACAATAGGGCTTCCCTGGTGGCGCAGTGGTTGAGAGTCCGCCTGCCGATGCAGGGGACACAGGGGACACAGGTTCGTGCCCCGGTCCGGGAGGGTCCCACATACCGCGGAGCGGCTGGGCCCGTGAGCCATGGCCGCTGAGCCTGTGCGTCTGGAGCCTGTGCTCCGCAACGGGAGAGGCCACAACAGTGAGAAGCCCGCATACCACAAAAAGAAAAAAATAAAAAAAATTAAAATTAAAATTAAAAAAAAACATTTTTACAATAAAATCAGCCATTTAAAGGTCTCAAAAGGGCCATAATGTGAGGAAAAACAAAGATAGTAATCTCTTTTTTTAAGTATTGAATTTTTTTTTAAAAGACAGTTTTTTCCCAGATCTCATCCTACAGAAAATACTAATGAGTAATTGTACACCACCAAAGAAAAAGCCCAAATAAATCTGATTTTAACATCTACTTATACTTTGTCACCTATTCTTGCCTTCTCCCTCATTAAAAACGTGTCCTACAGTGAAATTAAAAAGAAAACCAACGTAATAATCCACAAGCACACAAGATGCTGATTCAATACTAACTGCCCACTTATAAGAGTCCCTCACTGGCTGCGGAATGTGCTGCACACAATAGGCAAATCTAGGTCTATAATGAGGGCTGTAACTCCAATCCCATCTTCTGCACTCAAGAAAGCAAGTGACAATGTAAATAAGAGACAGGATTATAGGAATAAGTGAATTAACTCTAATTACTCTCTTTTTTTAAGTACATAATTTGCAAGCTTTGCTTTGCTGCTTCAAGTATTATTTAGAAGCAAAATACTGTTGACATATTCCCCAACTGTATTTTGACATTGACAT